CACTTCATCCATCCCACTCAACAAGCAGCTGGCTTTCAGAAGGCTCCCCTGTATGTACTCAAACTCCCCAGGCTTACTAACCGAACCAGTTGAGTGACGACTTCGATATGCTGCAAAATCGTGGGATCTAATACGTGCCAATTTTCCAATGTGATCCGTAGCCTATTGACTCTTTTTAATGTTTGTGCAACAATCAGGACTCACGAATATTCACTTTGCGGCAGATATCGCGACGCGAAAAGTGCCATATATATGCACCCACAAAACTTTTCTGAAACTGCTTATATTCGCCAGAAAGCGCTCTTCATGGCATTTGGGGGCTTGGCTAAGGCTTTGGCGAGTTTATTCTATTACCGCTTTGACGAAAAGCATGTTCTTACGGAGTAGGAATACGAGATAACAACTCCAATTTGCAAGGGAGGCATTCGTTCCGATGCAGATGGCTACCGTCAAGTGACTTTATTTTCAGTTCTTTCAAAAGTTATGAAAGTTATCACTGCTGATTCGCTGATGTCACGGTTGAACAAATTTGGCTACATCACTCAAGATCAACATGGCTTCCGTCAGCATCAATCATGCACTACCCATCTACCGTTAGCATGAGACAGTTGGACTGCAGTAAAGTATAGCGGCGTAGGTGTTCATAATGTTTACCACGATTTTTCTAACACATTCTACCAGTTGGAGCACTGTATCCTTCTAGCCAAGCTTCCCGAATAGGATATTGGTGATCCACTCCCAGGATGTTTCAGCCGCTTCCTCTTTCACAGTCGTCTGAATAAATGTCCGTTAAGTCGTTTCAAATCTTTTCCAAATCGAATGCGGTGTGCCACCAGATATGCTGTTGGGGCCCGCCTGCTCCTAATATTTATTAACGGTTTAGGTAGCTTGATCACTCCAAACCGTTTAATTTACGCCAACCACATCAAAGTTTGGAGGTGGATCAAAGCGTTGGGCGACAGCATACAGCTTCAAACCAACTTAAACTAGTTTTAGGGCTGACCTGTTCATAATTATCTGCAGTTTAACATAACCAAATGATGAGTTCTTCAGCTAGGACATTAAAGAGTTCTCTCCTATAGGCGGGACGACCAGGATCTCTACTATTGTTCCCATAGAGCATACCTTGATGTGATGATGCAAGGAAACCTTTGTTGCTCAGAGCAATCCGAAATGACACGGAGAGACAGATCCAAGATATGGTGCTCTTGCAGAAAATGATTGTTCACTTCAACCCATGGCGGTTACTCCCAGCTGCTTTCTGCATTTATACCCCTTTACTTGTAATATGTGATTCAAGCAGTGCAGCTGTGGCAGAAGTGGCATCTCTCTGTTTTAAATTCCACGACATCTGCCTATCAAAACGTCAAGGGCTATACCACTTACTCTATGAACAGTGATTGAGTGTACTGGAAGATGTTAGTAAACGCTATCGACGTTTGTGTAGTGAGCTTATCCAAGTTTACAGATTTTAAACAATTCTAATGACTCATGCCATCGTCTGCTAAACCCGACCATAATAGTAGGCTGATAGGCCGCCATTTCAAAGTGCCTGAATAATGCAGCAGGCTGCAGTGCAGACGGAATTACTTCTCTCTATATGTTTGCCAAACATGAAATTCCCCCCAAGAAGGTGTTGCCTCACCTTGCTTCATTGGCTTCGTTCAAAGATTGGGAGTAAAATACACTGACTGTATTACAGCACATTATAAAACACACATGACCCATACGCACGTTAGGAAAACCAAGCTGCATCAATCCAAGCCCCTTTCATAAGGAAAGTCAAAGTTGGTAGCTTACTAAATTACGTGGGACCAAAATCTTGAGGACAACTTGTTTGTCGGCAATTTTATTGTTAGTTATTCACTGTTTCTAGTTATTTTCAGTTGCTTTTGAAATCCCTTACCGACCATCCGGCAAGAGATGCTAGACTACGGCTTTTGTTCTAAATGTAACAGTAACCGCTGCCCATCTATCTGTTATAACGAAACCGATTTTATCATAGATCTGTGGACTAAAAACGATTTACGGTTACATATACGTGCACTAATTCCACTGAACATGGTGAAACTTCTCTACGTTTATGGAGACTATCAAAATAATTATGATCAACATATCCTTAAGTCAAGCAACTGAGGAATCACGCTTATTCACTTGTGTCTAGCTAAAAGTCGGTAATATAACGAAATCTTTCGGTCACTATATATCAGGTTCGTCCCGCCTCAAGAAAAAATCGGAATAAGACGGATATACGGGAGAGGTAGACGTTTATTGTCGAAACGTACAATCTAGCTAGCTGAAAGCACCGCAAAGTGGTTCTAGCTAGGGGAAAGGTATAGTCGCCAGCTGAGACGCAACAAACGCTCTTCGAGGCGGAAAAGTCAGAAGCGCGAATTCGATTCTTCTGCATGACTCAAACACACGTAGACATCGTGGGAACAGGCAAGCTTTTTAAGTTGTCTATGTACAGAATGATATTATATTTTAATAATATTTTACGCAGGCAAACAAACAATCTCCAGGTCACTTCAGTAACAAGTGGCTAGTGATTTAACGCAAACTTCTGCTGTCACATGTTATCAGCAATATCAGTAGTAAAAAACGGAATATCATTAAAGATCATTTCACTCGTATTTACAATGCTCACCATGAATAAGATTATGTCAAATTTCGATATCGTAGAATGCTCATACAGTCAACTAGTAGTAGTAGCAGTAGCGACAGCAGCGGTATCCCCTGCCATGCAGTATATTTAACGGAGTGCGGAACTTATGTCTGCAATCCCACTTTTCTAGTTTCAAACTAATCTCTTTGAAGCAGTACTTGAAACACTCTGGGTCACGAATTTCACGAATACTTGTAATCAATGGAACACGTTCTTCGTTTCGCAATGGCTAACTGTATTTAGATCAAATGACCAAACACCCATAGTAGTTTTTAACACGATATGACACTTATACCTGACCTACTGTTTCCCAGCATCTGAAACGACAACCAGTTATTAATTGACTGATGTACACAAGGTTTCATGAGAACGAGTTGCCCCATCATTTGGACTTGAAGGATAAGATTTGAATTTACCACAATGTGCTGCACACGCTTGAGAAAAGCGCTCGTGGAAATTTTCCACTTGTGTAGCAAGTAGAGAGGAATACTGGGCTGATCAAATGGCTATCATTGTGCTGCCTTGTTGCTCCCCTACAATGTACATTTGACTTGCCCACATCGCATTCATGTATTCATCGATGCCACAACTAGGCTGTCTCATTTGTAGCATAGGTCATTTACAGCCCCTGGGAAGTAGCTCACTTCAAACAGAGGCCACTTTATGGGTCCTTAACAAAACTAGCAAAGCACTAGTCATAGGTTTGTCGAAATTTATTGAATGCGCAATAGCTTTCCTAGTTACAAGATAGGAAATCATCGTCACAGTTGTTAAGAGGATCATTGGTGTGAAACCAACATACACAAACGGTCCACACAAACGGTTCTCACAAACTCAACGGAGACCCCTAAACCTCAGACAGTCGTGAAGCATCTGTTATGATGGCATTGCATCGCGCCACAAAATACAGCCTCGTTTAACCCCAACGTTTCATACAACTCTCGTGAAGTCACAAGTATATTGCTACAAAGCGGATGCTACTTACTTCTACTTATAAATCATCTTTACTAACCTCCAAAACAGTCGACCAATTGGAACATCGGGTTCTCATGAGTAATTTTCTTAAGTACAGATTTTTTCTCCTGAGTATTGGTGACAGGCAAACTGATTAGGAGATACTGCACTCTGAACTAGATAGCGTACAGTAAAATCTCCATAAGTTGACAACTAAATGGAATGAATCGAAAAGCCCAACATACAGAGGTCTGGATGCAAAAGGTTTACATAGTAAATGTTTAATCAGTGCAAAATTAATCAGTCACATTTGAGAAGTGGTCCGGGTACAATAGAGGTTGTCAACTTTGGTTTTGTTGTGTTTAGAGTGTCAGCTGGTAGATCCTTCCGCGTGACATGGTCAAACGCTTCGTGGTTCTTAAACACCATGTACCACGAAGCTTAAACACTCTTCAGATGTACATCATGAGGTTCACACCCCAGTGGGATCATAGAGAGGTCGCGTAAAATGAACTCGAATGGCAGTTGTGATCCAAGCCTTAGAAGGCAAAATCAAAAATGGAGTCCATTCCAAGCACTTTTTGACGGCATGGCATTTAATCTTACCGCAAATACTTAAGGCATATTTAAGTAACTATGTTGTTCACTATCTAGACCCGTTAGCTTTGATAGAGCCCTCTCCAAGGTACTCCGTTTCCGTGCCGGGTGCTTAACTTGCACATCCTTTGCATTTTCAACCTCCATATTGATTTAGCATGAACGAGCTAAGTGTGAAGTGCGGACGATATCAGCGTCTGCCGGGTGACCTCCTAATGGAGCGTCAGATGATCACAAAGCGCGATAGCGGTTGCTGCAACCGGCTTGATTTTAGTTACAGAGTCAACCTTATGGATCACTAGAAAAACCTAGCTACGATATATAGCTCTCTTGAGGTTGTCAATGCTTCCCGCTACCATTGTAGTGTGGGGTAGTCTCACTATTTCATTGCTTTTTAGATGCAGACGAATTCAAGGTAAACTTACCTACTTTTCAAAATATAACTCCTAATTAACGGAAATTGAAGAAACATAAATCCTGGTAATCACGGAACACCTGTATCTATTCATCTTTATGTTATGTGATTAGACTTAGTGTATACTGTCTGTCTTGATATTCAGTTTTCTAAGTTGTTACCTTGTGATGCAACTGAACTTCTTAAATTCATCTTTTTCTTATGTGGAGACTATTATTTTATTAAAATATTAATACGCCCTCAACGTGTTGGCTTGCAGTACAGTCGTAGAAAACAACGTTTCAGTTACCCCTGTGAAATTACATTTTATTCACAGGAATACTCTGTGTTTTTAATATCCAATTTAGTTAGATTCTTTATCATTTGCAGATTGAAATGTGTCGTCGAAGAGGCCTACCAATTCCTGATGGTTGGGCTGCTGATTCTGAGGGAAGAGTAAGTGTTCAGTCTCAATGCACGGGGAAATTTTGTTTAAATTATTGTGAACCAAACAACAGAGAAATGAATGTGATTGTGTGCCACTTACCAGTAAGTTTCTGAAGCCTGATGCAATGTTCATATATCTGGCACGGTAATTTTCAACGTTCTTTCTCCTGTCTGGTAAAGTCATGCAATATTTTGTTGCCGATTTAGTCAGAGTGCCTGAGCCTCGTACGCCCTCATTCAACGGACAATAAGATGACCACATATGGACACAAACACTGAAACATATTTGGTTTTTAGGTTCTATCAATGCTCTATTTCCAACTGTCATGATGAGTTGGCAGTTCCGTGACTTGCTAGTTGACGTGGTCTAACACAACAGCTATGCACACAACCACAGGCACCCAAACATCCGCAACTATTACACTGATGACTCGCTCTCTCAACACGTCGACTTAAAGGCTCTATTTCGATCTTCAAATGGGCCGTATCTTCCATCCTAGCCTTCTACACAACGCGTGCTTTATGTCATTGTGACCATGGAGCCGTCTGAATTTCTTCTTGTTTGTACAAATGTATTCAACAAAATAGTGATGGATATTCTTTTTGTTACCGGTGCAATTCAACATAAATAAACCGTGGTGTAAAGTTTGCACAAATTTCCAAGCTCAGCGAACGAACAAGCAACTGAATCATCAACTCGAGCCACCAGTTTCACAAACATTTTAAAGGATCACGGGCGTTCAACTTTCCGCACTGCTCACCGTTGGGAGGACTTCGCTTGCAGACAAGCCTCTACCAGGCAACAGCTCTTCTTCCTTCATGAATTTCTGAGAAGGGCCATTCCTCCCCGCACTATTAGCTACAAACCGCGGATTGATCACCCACAAGTGTGAGCAGCCGCTCGACAATTTGGCAGGCGTATGATACGGCTGATGATCACCGACGCTCACAATCGACTCAAGAAAATTGAACGGTGTCTGGACAAACATCAGTCTACCTGACTTCAAATCATTGGAAAACAACTAACAGAACAACTTGACCCTGCAATAGAACGCCGGACAACAAACAGTGGGACAAAGAGGCATACTGCACTTCTCGATAAGTTAACAAAATTGACCTCCATTAACGACAGAACTGCCAGTGATAGCTGGATAAGAAACTTTTATAACCGACTAATCAACGATTCCGAACAGCAAGGCTTCATCAAGTGACTTAACTATAAATTCAGAGATGCAGCAACTACAGACTTTCTGACAGCATTTAAAAGCGTCCTACAATCCAGTGGAATTGATGAAGAGACTGAAAGCAAGCAAGATTCACAACTGTTCCACCTATAATGCGCAACATGCAATACAGTACTCTAAGCAGACAAGAACAGCAGGCAATAAAACCTTGAAGTCTGACGAACCGACCATCATTCTGCCGGCAGCCAAAGGACGGATGACTGTTATAATGGAAAGAGAAAGCTTTTCATTTATTGAACTACACAATGGCCTACAAGTGCAATGATACCGATCCAACCTCGAGCTGACAAACAAAATAAACAAAACATTGAAACAACTTCAGGAAAAGAACTAAATCATGAGGGAGGAGTGCGAACGAATTAGAGCCCGCGACTCAAGCATCGCGCAATTCCATGGACTCCCGAAGGTACACAACGTGAGTGCACCGTTACGGCCGATCATGTCACTACCAGGAACACCCACCTACAACTTGGCGAAAGACATGTGAAAACGTTTCAAACATCTGATCTGTGGATCGCAATATTTCGTAAATAATGGCCAGCAATTTCTACGAAAGCTCAAAGACCTGCGAATAGATGATGATGAGACTATGATATCTTTCGACGTGATTGCCCTCTTTACGTCCATCAACTTAAAAATAGCAACAAGAGTCGTCATAAAAAGCCTAAACAGCAATGCACAAATATTCGAGAACATGACGACTGAAAATGTATGCAAGCTATTCCAGTTGTGTCTGTCAACCTACATCTTACAACGGGAAGATCTACGAACAATTGGAAGGCGCGCCAATGGAATCACCTATATCAAGACTCGTCGCGGAGGTGGTAATGCAAAAATTGGCAAGAGATGTACTCCCATTCATTTCCCCGTAACTGTGGGTCCCATATGTTAACGACACTTTTGTGATCATCAAACGCAGTCGTTACAGTCGCACAACAGCTATTAAACAATGTCATTGAAGACATCCGATTTACGCTGGAAATGGAAAATGAAAATCAACAGCCTTTCCTGTAGGTATTATTGACCAGAACCATGGATGGAAGGTTGCAAACATCAGTTAACGGAAAAAGCACACATACGGACCAAATTCAGAACGTTAACAGTAACCACCCGAAATGTTACAAACTAAGCTGTGTGCGGGCACTGTTTGGTAAAGTGCAAACACGCTGCAGTACCGTGGAGGCAACGCACCAAGAAGAGAAGTATTTATTTAAATGCTTCCAACACAACGGATATCCGCGAAGCATCATACGTAGGTGCCTGAACCACAACAACGCCAACAGACGGTCTAGACCAACGGTCTAGACGCTTTGTTTTATATAAATGAATAAATCCGAAATGGTGGCAAGACTAGTCAAAAAGCATCACTTCATCGTAGCACACAAACCAACTACTACATTGGTGGGACTGTCAAAACCGAAAGTAAAACTGGTAGCTCATGGGCAACATAATATTGTATATAGAATATGTTGTAGCAATTGCGAAGAGGGCTATGTTGGCCAAAAAGGTAGCAAATTAGCAATACGAATACAGGAGGACAAAGTTGTGTGCAAAAGACACTATGCAGAGGCATTGTGCATCATCTCTAGCCTTAGCGTACGTGGACGAAAAAAGCACAGCTTCGACTGGGCCAAATCTAAGTCTTGGCACGAGGCAAAACAATAAGAGAAAGGAGTTCCTGCAAGCGCGGTTCTCAACAAAGGACTCCATCAACATGCATATTGATCTGGACCCGGTGTAACAGCTCCTCAGACGAGATGCCGCTTAAACAGAAACAACTAGAGACGATTTCTGCCGTGGGGAAAATGAGTAGAGATCACGGGGCACAGATCGTAGCCGTCACGTTCAAACTGTTACCTGCACGCCGCTTACGGATTGACAATTGAATCAGCGAGGTTACACTCTGCATCTCAGCGCACTGATGATGCCACCTCGCATGGTGGTGAAACGTTTGCAAACAAATTCCCAAGCTTGGCGAACGAATGAGCAACTGAAACAATCAGGCGGCCATTACTTCTCCGGAAAAATATTGTCACCGTTATCGCGGTCTCCGTCGCCGTTCCTGACCAAATGTTCATCATAGACTCATCTGTGTAGGTAGATGGTCTTAGCCTATGTGGTACAGATAGACTGCGTACTGTTGATAATTCTCGGATGGATGAACCGGCCGTTCAATGATTTTCTAGACGTTTAAGCGTCTTTTGCCTAGCTTTTTGCGACAATCGAAATATGCCATATTAATCACCTACTTGCGTCGTTGTAGTCAGCGGCCTATCACTCCTGTCGCAAAGTAAATGAACTTGAACTTGACACACACCAAAGCAGATATAAATGCTCTTGTGCTCCCCACAATAGGTCACAATATGTCTCCATATAATGATACCAAACTTTTGCATTTTGTCCAAGTCCACCACAGAACCGGAAGTTGCGATCAGCGGGGGAGCTCTGCTACCTTTGGGAGGAGAGGAGAACACAAGTGAGTGTAGACTGAGTTCTTCCTTGTAGTGCGGTGCCGTTCACTCTATCATCGAGGCGAAGCAATTACCAATACCAACTATTCCTGCATACATGGCCCTTACAGCGCCATTTATTCTCTCACAGGAATCAACATTCCAGGGTCAAAATGGACTATACACAGTACCTTAGATTTGTTCGTATGTTGCATTTAGGTTAGAGCGTCCACCAACTGGGGGATTCAATCCAATGCCAAATAATACAGACTGCAGTGTATACAAGAGCAGGTTAGCAACCATTTGTACGCAGACTTCCCGTTTTCGACCTACAACGTCTCAGTTTAGGTTTTGTAGGTTCTGAACAACCGTCCAGCATGCGTACTACCGAAACAAAATGCCACAAAACCAGAGGAAAATTTCTATACTGCACCAGGAATGTGCATAATACCTTGCGCATTGGGCAGTGGCCAGCGGAGGCTAGGCCGGCAGCATGTCCTGGTCACCTCCGGTGAACGCCGTGTTATGCGCACAGTGTACTTTTGTCCTGCGCCCATTAGTGCATCTCACGTGAGTGTTTTCTGACCTCAGCGGAAAATCTACCGATAATAAGCGCCACTTCTTAGCTTGACCCTGTTCACCAACAGAATGCGTCACGTGAAGAATTATGGTCAAACTTTAAGGTGCGTCAATGGGATACGTGTTGGTTTGTGAAGCACGGTTGTTTTTCTACCAGAGACCGTAACATATGTTGGTTTGTTGCATGAGAACTGTTACCATCCTCTGAAAGAACCTGTACTGTTGTGAATGACCGATTAAGTTGTCTCGTACTTAAATATAGTTATAATTGTATATATAGTTATATATAAGCATAATGCTTGTGAGCATGTGCATTGCATCTGAGCTGTTTGCCTCATTTTCACCACTAAAGTAGTAACGAATTCAAACGTAACCAAGTGACTTCTGTTAAGCGAAATTCCCTTCCTTAGTCAAAGTGAACAGGCGCATAATAAAGTATGCGCCTATTGCTGTCAGTCAGTCAGATATGATTTGGTCGAACACAAAACCAAGACGCATTTCTACTAGCAGAACTTGTCACCCTCTAACACGGTCATCTGGATCAGGTTGGCTCCTGAAAGAAATCCGTAGCCTTTACATCATATTATCAATAAAGATCATGTCGGACAACAAAATACGAATCGGGGAGAGCTTTTCAATCTCATTATGCATAACCACGTCTGCTAATCCTCTTGGCCAGTCTGCCTCCGGTGAGTGCAGAATGTTGAATTTGGCTTTACTCAGAGCATCAGTAGTAACCTGGGACACCGTACCGAGCCTCCACTGCACCTAATGATGTTCATATCAAGGATACTGTGAAGACGACGCCATCTTCACTGGCTCAAACAAATACTTTTTGGGTTGTAAGACAAACACTTCAACCACTCACCCACCGGGTGGTCTGGGCACGTGTTAAGCTTGTCAGCCCATTACATACCTCTTTGCGCGCGCTGAACTTGATTGGAGGCGGACACTATTCAACTAGTGACTTGGATTCAAATTATTAAATCTCTAACCTAAGTTGTTGCCTTGGATTCGCGGGCTGGGTCACAGCAATCACGAAAATACTTGGCTGGGAACCCTTTCGGACATCGTAAAAACTGGAATTCAGTGGGGTTCATGTCAAGCAAATCTGCTCCCTTTACATATTTACTTACTTACTCTTTTCGCTGCATTATATTTATCCATATTTTGTAGCAATTTATTAGTACTACTGCTATTGGTCAGATGGTTTGTATATATATTTTTTGATGTGGGTCCCAAAGAATAGTAGTCGTGGCTTCACCTATTAAAACCGTAAAGCAGTTAATTGAATGACTATGTCTATTGTCCAGGCAACAAGTGGAAGGCCCTCGCTATAAACTACAAGCAATGCGTAATCTGTTGTGAAAACAACCGTCCTGACCTGTGCAGCATGGAGTTGGCAAGTGGATATGACCTAAAAGCTGCCGCAGTAGATTCAACAAAAACCAAATTTCCTTAGAACAAAGCAATACTGGTAGGATCCGTGGTTTGTGTTGAACAGACTGAAAGTTGACCTGATATAACTTTAGTGACAATTAAGCAAAGTATAATAGGTGTGCTTATGTCCAGTCACTAGCCAGAACACAAAAAAATGGTATCAACTATCCGACAATGACTTAACGATGCCTAGTAGTTTTCTCCTTGTGTCCTAAGCAAATAACATTCCGATTAACCGATTAGCGATCTCTTTATACTATCAAATGCCTGACCTATAATTATCCATTTTGTTAAGAACCTTTAATGGTCGGTAAAATGCGTACTAGACGGTACCCTGATTTACGTTGAAGTAGCTATCACGAGCTATGCGTTTTCTTCGAAATTCACTGGATTTCAGACAATTAGTGAATCTCATTGGAAGTCATGAGAAAATTAGCAAGATTTTTGGAATTGCAACTACGTAACCGACCCAAGTTCTTCGTTACATCATAGACCAATTAAAATTGGAGTGATGTGTGGGCGTGATGGTCTGTGTGAAATGCAAGTTCAAAAAACGAAAGGCTTTGCACCAACCTAACCAGCTCATCTATGGGCTCAGAATGAGATTTACGCTAACACACCAGCAAAGCAACCTACCCAGTTTCGTGGGGAGTTAGTGAGTATATTGTTTGATTACAATTTGTTGCCACTTGATGAACTAGCGTCACATCAATGCATCGTCGAGTCGTTGTTAAAGATGGATAACGTTGACGCAGAACTAACCTAAATGGGAAGAGCGTTCTACGACTGACACATTAGGGGGGGAATTCTCGCAACATTTCAAACAGTTGTATTGTACAGCCATCTTCATCTAGTTGTCCCTTAACGTTGTTATGCATAGGCTTTAGGAGGCAGCGGAGCTTCTCGAAATCTGATAACTCACGATACCGTCCCGTAGATGACGAAATGTTCCACTATACGTTCATCGGCGGTATAGTCGCTATTGGTTCGGCAGATTGAGTCGGTGCTTAACATCTTTAATTGCCTTTCGCTATCTGATATCAGTTTCAGTCAGCTAACATATCTGTAAGCATTACCAGGTCTGAAATGCGTACTGCAAATGAGGCTACACGGATACCTTGTATTTTTGAAAAACTGGAGAGGTCGAACTACTCAAATGCCTCCCGTAACCGGCGCGTGTTGGTTCCTAATGAGACTTTCACAACTTCCTTCAAACAGCCGCAGTCATCCTGAATCCCTGCACCGTGTCGCGCTCGTGCGAGGTGGTCTTCGTAAGCGACTGCCAACATGCAGGAACTACTTTACATTTATCCCCGTTATGCGCTAAATACTTCTTTAATTTTGGATGTTTGTGAGTATTGTAAAGTTTGTAGAAAGTAGAAGTCACGATTAAAATTCACGCACAATAATGTGCCTCGACGGGGAATCGAACCTCGGTCCACGAATTTCCGGTCCACTGCTCTACCACTGAGCTACCGAGGGCCGACGATTAGGTGCACAAATTTTAACACATAACTTCTACTTGGTGCGCTAGGTATTGCCAATGGGCTCACAGTACCTCTCCTGGTGTTGCAGATTAGCTCACTCACCGTCACTTCCCAATAGACCGAAGTACCTGTCCTTCGGAGGTCCAATGGGCGATGGTAGATTAAGTTGGGATGTTTGTGGGTATTGTAAAGTTTGTAGAAAGTTTGTAGAAATACTTCTTTGACCACTCAGAAGCACGGTCCAACTGTGGTATTAATGAAACTTGATATTCATGATTGACGACCACCTGCCATATCAAGATACTATCATTGAAAAACCAGAAATCCAAATGAATGTCAAGTGTAAGATCGTTATTGAACACCAGGGATGGACGCAGCTCCGGCACTGATCTTTGTGGGGCACCGCATTTCGCCACCTTTGAATCGGACAAGGAGTCCGGAACTTGAACCTGCAGTCACCGATGAGGAAGGTGGTTTCTGATCCGTTCGGGAACAGGGTATCCAAATGCGTAGGTTTGTAACTTATGAGAAAGGAAGCAATGGTCAAGGTGCTTGACGGCTTTAGAAATTTCTAGATTGATGACATTGGTTCCGGTCCCAGCATCGGCCGTTTGGGTACAGCCATCACGCGCATTCAATAGGTTGGCAGCAAGTGAGAAACATTGTTGGCATTTGTTTTGCTCCAGTGCTATGATACGGGATCTTCCTGAATATCCTAATAATCTAAAACAGGAATCGCTTCCACCACCTTTGACAGCACCGTGGGGAGGATCACTGATCGGTACCTTATGCTTATTCTGAACGGCTGCCGCTCTTATAATTGGCGGCAGTATCACCCTGCTTCCATGTAATAGGAGCTTGTTGTTTCTCCAAACACTTCTGTAAGAATTGTGAAAATAATAGGGTTAGTCTTGCAGTTGATACCTCTAATGCGTACGAATAAATGTTTTCAACACTTGTAGCGCTTTTGGCATACAACGATGGCAACTTCCTTAGTTCTGTCACTGAAGTAACCTAGCCTGTGGAATTCCCCTTTTGCACGGCCGGTTTTTGGATGCCAATAAAATATTCTACAGCTTGTGCTGGACACACAAAAGCCAATCGAAAGCGATGACATGTGAGAAATGCGCCAACTTTGAAACAGTGTAGAAAAGCGATTGTAGTAGGACAACATATTCATTAATCGTACAGTTGCAGGATAGACATCGATGATGATGATGCCGATGATTGAAGAGCAGAATAACTCACCAAAAAGAAAGGAATTAGTGTAAATACACTTACTAACCGACCTAAATATTGTGTAGTGAAAATATGGACAAAATCCTGTGTTTGAAACTACCGAAAGAGTAACTTACTTTTGGATGTTTTTCGCCACTGCGCTCCACAACCGGTTTCGAATTTGGTCCCAATGGTTAGGTGAAGATAGAAGCATCGGAGCTTTGTCTTCTTGTTACCCCTGTTATAGCGTACGCATCCAGTTGATCCATTCCATATTGTTATTATGGAAGCTTTACACCATA